AATAAGAATGATTCTGCCATGAAAAGAATCAGCTGCAGATTTGTTGGAAATGAAGCTTACATCAAAGATTTCAAAGCCAGCAATATCCAGGACACCAATGAAGAACTGTCTTGCTTGTTTGGTATCCAGTGTCTGGTTGATACGGATGACCATCCACAAGAACATTCTCTCATAGATAGACTTGGCCAGAGCACTCACTGAGTTCAACACCTGAAAAAAAAAAAACAAGAATGTTATTTGATTTAAGACAGCCACCCATTTTGTAAAATGCTGGATTACAGATATTTTAAAGTTGTAAGGAGATAAATCATTCAGTATTTTTCTCAGTCATTTCTTGACATAAATGGATATTATCATAAGTAGAGCTAGCTTGCATACTGCATTTGATGCTATAAACCTAGGAGGGACCAACAGTTTTCTCAGTTTTATTTTTCCTAATATAGATACACATGTGCTACATGTAAATTAAAACAAAGATACCTGTATATCTTGTTTACCTGGGGTACAGTCTGTCCCTTGGTGACAAATTCATTTCCGACCTTTACTCTTGGATAGCACAGAGCCTTCAGCATGTCAGCTGAGTTCAGACCCAGCAAGTAAGCAACCTTGTCAGCGTCTGAAAACAGTTCAGTGATATCCATCATGATATGAAGAGAAACCAGTGCTATTAAGAATTTCATCACTGTTGTTTCCAAGCTGTTCACTGTGAGCTGACATTGAATACTCACCCTCTGTGCCATCAGGCTCAGCCTGCTCCTCACGCTGCTTCTGCTTGAACTTCATGTTACCATGGTGGAGCACAGCACCAGTCATCTTGTAGATACTTGACTTCTCTTCACCGGTGAAGCCCAGGATATCGATGGCATTCTAAATTCCAAAGAGGTGTCCACACAAAATATAATCACGTAAGTAATTGCATCTGAAGAAGCACTTTTGATGATACATTTAATGCACAAAATATATTTAAACATTTTGAAGTGGGGATCACTCACATCAGTGGCTTCCAGCTCAACTTTGTCATCAATGCTGGCCACAGTGATCTGACCCATGCTACACATGGGGAAGTCATAGGGGTTGGTTGTGATGAGTGCCAAATCTGGAGATCAAAAAAGGGTGAAAATGTCAATACATGTGTTTCATAAAAAAAGTTGTAATATGGTTACACATTGTGCAGAATCTCAGTTTACTTACCAATCAGCTCAGGCTTGTGGTTGGTCATCATCTGGTAGAAGATGTGGTAGCCTCTTTCATCAGGAAGCTGGAATGTCACTCTAGACTTCTCCAGCAGATCTACAAATATTGTTCATAAGTCACAGCCTGGCCAATTCTCAATTCCAGTCGTTCATATGAGTGTTATTACTTACATGTCTCAATATCAGCACTAGCCAGTTTGCCAGTTGTGCCAAAATGGATTCTGATGAATTTACCCTGTTTGGAAGAAAGGAATTTTTATTGTCCCATGACACTGACAATCTGTAACGAGACCTGTCTCATGTATAGAAATCGCTCCATACTTACAAAACGAGAGGAGTTGTCATTCCTCACAGTTTTGGCGTTACCGTAGGCCTCCAGCAGGGGATTGGCTGCAATAATCTGATCCTCCAGTGACCCCTATAATCCAGGTTTAAACTTGCTATCAGAAAATGACTTTATTTCCCCCCAAGGAAATATATGTCGTATTGAAAGATAACTGAATTGTGATCATTACAGAGTTACACACCTTTGACATGTCCCTCTTTTTGTCTCCACCAACTGAGATTGTTGCAAAGTACTGGATGACACGCTTGGTGTTCACAGTCTTTCCAGCACCAGATTCTCCACTAGGTATAGACACAGACTTATAAGAAGCTGAACAAGATATCTGACTGTGTTAAACATTGTTGACAATGTAAATGTGACAAACTTACGTGATCAAGACAGACTGGTTCTCCCTATCTGTTAAATAAAACACAAGAATTAATGATGTTTTACTGCAACAGAAACCTCATATAAACTGGACATTGTTATGGTAGTGACTTACCAGTAAGCATGAACTGATAAGCGTTGTCAGAGACAGAGAAGATGTGGGGTGGAGCCTCCATACGCTTCTTGCCTCTGTAGGCAAAAACAAATTCAGAATCGTAAACTGGGAGCCACTTGTAGGGGTTCACAGTGGCACAGAACAACCCAGAGTAGGTCTGAAAGTGATCACAGAGATTCAACAGTTAAATCTATGTTTCTGTCAAATATTTCCAACCATACTCTTATGTCATTAGGCACATTGTCTTACGTAGATCATCCATGCTGCATAACGCTCTTTGAGGTTATACAGCACAGAGGCTTCATTGAGATGGGTCATCATGGCCATGTCCTCAATCTTGTCATACTTGGGAGGGTTCATTGGAGAGACGTCATCTTCTTTGACTGTCCTCTCCTGGA